TTCCTGGGAGGTGACCCTGGTCTTCCTAGAAGGTGACCCTGCTCTTCCTGGGAGGGGACCCTGCTCTTCCTGGGAGGGGACCCTGCTCTTCCTGGAAGGTGACCCTGGTCTTCCTAGAAGGGGACCCTGATCTTCCTGGAAGGGGACCCTGCTCTTCCTGGGAGGTGACCTTGCTCTTCCTGTGAGGTGACCCTCCTCTTCCTGGGAGGTGACCCTGCTCTTCCTGGGAGGAGACCCTGCCAATGTGAAGGGAAGGGCATTAGCCTCATCCAGACTGGTGAAAATCCAGAAGTAACAGCTACCAGAGAGGCTATGCAAGTTGGATAAGAAGAGAATGTGGACAGGATGGAGACTGCAGAGGGAGAGAGAAGGACTGGGCAGCCAACTGAACATGGGGAACATTCACAGAAAGGGGGGTCCTCAGAGGGGCTGGTGGTAGCAAGAGATGGAAACAGATTCATGAACAAGGAGAGGGTGGTCCACACTGTCAAAGAGTGGGCAGAAGCACCAATAAAGGGGGGTGTCTGGTAGTTCTCAGGGGTATTAGCATATCAAAAGAGAGATTAAAAAGCAGTTCAGAGGCTGCAGAAAGTGGAGCACAGAGCAGCGTGCCAGCCACTTGAGACACAGACACTTTCCAGTGAGGACTGGAGTTTACTGTCAATACCCTTAAAACCTTTAGTTTGTCAAAATATTGCCAGAACATTTCAGAAACAATGAATAGGTTTTTTTCCTTTTCCAGTTGTTAGTGCTAATTGGGACCCCAGCTTATTTGTGACAGATGCCCCCTGGTTCAAGAAAGCCTTTCAGTCAAGTTGGCACAGACCCACAAGAAGTGCCCTGGAATCACGTTCAACAGTTGCTTTTTTTTGAGACAGAGCCTCAAGCTGTCACCCTGGGTAGAGTGCTGTGGCATCACAGCTCACAGCAACCTCTAACTCCTGGGCTCAAGCAATTTTCCTGCCTCTGCTTTCCAAGTAGCTGGGACTACAGGCACGTGCCACAACACCCAGCTATTTTTTGGTTGCAGCTGTCATTGTTGGCGGCCCAGGCTGGATTTGAACCTGCCAGCTCAGGTGTATGTGGCTGGTGCCTTAGCCGCTTGAGCCACAGGCGCGGAGCCTCAACAGTTGCTTTTACTGTTCTCAGTATTCGAGACCTCTCACCCGTGAACCCAGGCCAGAACTGCACCCCAAACTTGCCTTGGACAGGTGTCTTCTAACTAAGGGCCACCCTAATACGTACACATTTTCATCTTCCTATGTATCTATATATCATCAATCTTCTGTCTGCTCTAAATGTAAAACATAAAATTAGTTACATATAGTTGGTAGCTATAACACCATTTTATTCTTTTATGGCATATAAATCCTAGTATACACCTTTCTAGAACATATATGCCCTTCTAGAATTGTATCCCAATTTGTATAAATGTGACTCAGTGCTTGGGCTTGATAATAAATGAAAATAGAAACTTAGCATAAAACAGTATAAAACCTCTATCAGCCATGTAGGCTGGGTTATTGCGCGTTTGTGTATAATAATCTGTGTTTCTATACTTATGTTTAAGTTCTAAATGAGTATGCGGTTTTGACATTAATGCTCTAAAAATCAGTTTTATTCCATAGAAGCCAGATAATCAAAAGCATTTCACGAAAATACTGTGAAATGAGATAAGGCATCTGAAGAATTATGCTTAATGCATAATTCACTGTATATCAGATCCTAAAAAAGTCAGAATGTTTTATATTATTTCCATGTTCAGCTAAAACCTGGAAAAGCACATCCATATATACCTTTCTGTATAAATTCTTAAATCGAGACAAGACTCAGGCAAATATAGAATATTCATTGCATTATGTTTTAAAGTGCCATATACACTATCCTTTAGGATGGAAAAACCAAATGCATTATGGAAACTTACATTGTAATCAGAGAAGGGTTGCCTACAAATGCTTTCTCAGGTATCGACCTGATATTGTTGCTATGAAATCCTCTAGGAAGAGAAAAAAACAATTTACAGAATATCATGCATGGGGTAAAATTATTCAAAAGTTTATTCCACCCCACGGTAATAATCAGCATCTTTAGTAACCAGAGAGCAAGGTTAAATTCCTCTCTGCATCTTGAAACTTACAAGCCTTTATTTACTCTCTAGGAAAAAAAAGAAATCACAAGCTGTCATCTTGAAAGAGTAATAAAGAATCCGACTCTAACTGCACTGCATGGAAACTTACAATCTAGTGTCATACAAAGAAAATCCATTTATGAATGTTCAATAAAGCATCAACAGCCTGAGAGAGTGGAACCATCTCAGCAGAGAGGATTATGATCACTCCTCAGGACCCCAGGAGGAGAGAAAATTGACTTAAGCTTCAGTAAAGTAGAGATTTCTTATGAGGACAAGATGTCCCAGCTCAAAGGAAGGTGCCCCTGCTCAGAGTCTGTAGTAACAAAAGGATTCTCGGCTGTTGATGTGAACATTGTCTGAATGGCAGAGGAGTAGACTTAATATTCTTTGGTTCTGATCTGGGCCTGTGGCTGCGTGACCCGTTCCATGTGGGTTTTGACTGTGCACCCTGTGTCGGTCAGGTCTCGGTGGCAATGTGTTTGCGAGGCACATACAGTTGTAGTCATCTAGTTCTGGACTCACATAACCTAGAAATGTTCAGGTTTTTAGAAATGCTCAGCAAGTAACCAAATTTCATTATAGTTCTTCTACAAGTCTTATAAAGTATATAAGTGTTGGGGGAGTATGCATGGCTTAGGAACAGAGAAAAGGGTATGGCTTAGAGAAATATATATTGATACATACATATTTAATATACATAACATGGAGAACCATCAGAAGCAAAAAATATCACCTCTGATACTTGTGGGGACAGAATCAATTAATAAATATTTTAAGTGTACTTAACTGTATTATTTGTATAACTTTAAACGTTTTTTAGCAAATCATTTCATGTATAATAATCATGCATTTTAAAATAGATTCACAAAGAATAAAGTTGTCCCATTTAAACTGTCCTAAGTACTTACAGTTCTTTGAGGTTGGAGAGTGTCCTAATTGCAGTGGGAAATTCATCAAGGTTATTGTAATTTAAATCTCTGAAAATGAGTAAATAGAATTTTCAGCTTTTCATTTAGAAATTCACATATACAATATTTACAAGGAAAGTTAAATGTTATTCCAAAGGCCCTGCATCGCTGATGCAAGTTCTCGGCCCTGTTCTTTATGGAGAGAGATTTTCTTGGCTTTCTGACAACTAACATGCCATAACTATCTGCATTAAAAGGGTCATTAGGCTGATCTGGAGACATTTCAGACTCCAGGCTCTATGGCAGTAGTGCATTTAAAAAACGGAGGGAACAGTAAGCGGCCTTCACTTTAAGGCATGGGATGCTCAGCAGGTGTTGACAGCTTGCTGACACAGGTCCCTGGAATCGCTCTCTTCTGGGGACTCCTGGATCACGCCCCCTTTCTTGTTTCCTCCTTCACCCTCTTGGAGACAGGATATCTTGGAGGACTGTTTTGTCCCTGACTCCCATAAAGTGCCCGCGATCCTGCCCAATCCGCGGTCCAGGATGAGCTCTGCTTCTGGAGAAGTTTATACAGGGTACTCTCAGGAAGAACATCTGGTCTAGACTTTCCTCAGGGTCACAAATGGTGCAGATCAGAAGGAAGCTATTTTCCTTGATGGGTGCAGGAAACCTCTATTATCCCTCATGCACAGAGATGAAATGGCCAAACAATCTCAAGTCTTTAGTTTCTCTCTCTGTTATGACACAACTAGCTTTCAATTCCATTACTCACAAGGATTTTATAGACTTATTCCACCTTGAATCTGCATCTTCCTACAGAGTAATTGCCCCCAGTCTCTGGGAATGGCAGACTTCCCAGATGACGCATGAAAACCTTTTGGTCAAGCAATCAGATGTGGTTAGAAGCTCCTCTGTGTAGAAGAATTGCTATTTAATCTTAAGAGACAGATAATTTGAGTTAAACATGAATCAGGATTTCTACTTGTCTGGCACAAACCATCCTTAAGCTACACTGCAGGCAGGAAACTTTTCTTCCTGTTTGTAAATCTCTCCAGATGCTCGGTTATGATTAAATGAGGAGTGGGCCCTTATAAATCGCTTGGATTTCTACTGAGGGTAGGAAAGGCTGGGAATAACCAATTTACTTGTCCTCTGTGGCCCTGGGCGTGATGGGGGAGGGGAGACAGTCAGAAACACTGAATTCTGCCCTGAAATGTTTTCTTCTATGGTGTTTATATGCAATCCCCAGTCCTGACCCCAAACACAGAGGAAAATGAAAGATGTGGAAATACCCAGCGAAGCCCATCTTGAGTTTAGTTCCTGTTGTCAAGAGGTCTGCACCGTGATTTTGATTGCTACGATTCCCCCACCCAGCCCTCTGTAGACAGGAGAGAAGGTCTAATTCTTGCTAGCAGCTTGATGGGAACTGCTTGGCTGTGCCATCGAGTTGATACCAACGTCCTGCCTGGACTAAGTTCATCTTTGGCACCTAAGAGGAGACAGAGAGTGACTTAAATAACCCCGAAAAAAGAGCTTTCAGTGCTCACTGTAGGATCACCAGTAACAGGTGCTCCCTGAGGACATGAGTGGACCTCTAGACCTGGTTAGAAGCTAAACTGACCATCTATGAATTGCTAAGCTCTGCGTGCAAATGATCAGTGGGTTCCAGGGCCGGAGGAGAAGTGGCCGCTGGTCCCTCGCCTTTTGCTCTCTGGTCACAGCCAGCATTGGAGGCTCAGTGCCAAGTGTGACTGATTGCACTTGAGTATTAAAAACGTGGGGCTTGGAAGGGGGCACGGCTGTCACTCCACTCTTATCATACCTTTCTCATTCAGCCAAAAGGGCAATAAAGGACACTCCTCCCCTGGGAGATGTCTGGGCCCTGTTGTGGCACGCCACACCCTTGCCTTGGTGCTGGGAGACATGTAGAATATGTTGGCTGGCCGGACCCTATTTTTACTACAAGTGCCAATTAGGAACTTCATTTTTGACCTACTCTTTGAAAGAAGCATTTTTTTTTTTTTAAAGAGACAGAGTCTCACTTTATCACCCTCAGTAGAGTGCTGTGATGTCACAGCTCACAGCAACCTCCTAACTCTTGGGCTTAGGCGATTCTCTAGCCTCAGCCTCCCAAGTAGCTGGGACTACAGGCGCCCACCACAACCCGGCTATTTTTGGTTGTAGTTTGGCCGGGGCCGGGTTCAAACCCACCACCCTTGGTATATGGGGCCGGTGCCCTACACACTGAGCCACAGGCACCACCCTGGAAGAAGCATTTAGTGGTAAAAATGTATTTCAGAATTGGACTAGCAAAGGAAGCAAATCCCAACTCTGCCACCACTTATGTCATGCAGGTGGAATAACCTGATCTCACTAGAGCCTGGAATAAGAGTCATGGCTGCTCTCAGAGGAAGCTCGTGAGAAGCCAGGGGCTCTGGGTCGCATCTGACCACAGATACACTCAGTAGATGGTAATTATTATGGCTTTTTAGTCTTATGTGTTGCTTTAGGGTGAAACCTCACTATTTCCCAGTAAGTCACCTGTTAGCTTTGGAGTGAAGACTCCGGCACTGGCCTGGTCTGCGCCCTCTCATTCAGCAGGGAGGACAGGACTTAGAAGCAGTGAGCCTGAGTGATGACAACTGACCCTGACAGAGAACACACAGCCCGAAGCAAACTGTCACTGCTCAGCAGAGAACATCTCATTTAACTTATAATGACTGCAATTTATTTCTCTCATTAGATTAAAATAAAATCTCAGCTTTCTTGTTGAGCTCCATGGGGGCTGTGTGTAAGATAAAGCCACTGTAAATGTCTGTGTAAAGCTCAGGCAATTAACCAACCAAACAGCAAGTGTGGCTTTCTGGCTATTTCAATTCCTTCAGAATATTCATGAAAACACTGAAAAAGGGGAAACAAACAGAAGGTCAACTCACAGAGTCTCTAGGCTGTGGAGCCCATCAAAGCATTTCTTTCCCAGGGAGTGGATTCTATTGTTATGGAGATGTCTGCAAGAGAACATTTCTGAGAGTCACGCAGGCACACTGCACACAGGCACGACATTTCGATTGCTTAAATCAAAAGGAACTTATACTAAAGAATGCACTTTTTATAATAAATGACATTACATTTTAAAAAAGCTATATTCTCCATTCACTCATATCACAGATGATTCTGTATGACAGAATTTAAAAGGAAGTCATAATTTTGCTGTTTGGGTTTGGGATATCAGGTTGTGTATAAACATTTGATCAACACAAACGATGGAAGTAGACTCAGGTTTTCCAGCATATTTTTCCAGCTTAGGTTGTTCAGCATGGTTTTGGGATGTCGGATGTAAGCAGAGATATTAACACTGAGACAGAGGAGGTTAAAGGGAAGGTCCTAGGTATACTACACACATTTTCTATTAGTGTTGAGGGCATATGATGGCTACGTCCTCAGCGTGGGGCCACAGTCAACAGGAAACAACTATTTTAGCCACAAGGAATGGTGATCAGTTATTTTGGCTGCCCAAGGAGATTAGTTATCTTGACACAGTATTAACCTGTATAACGTCCTCCTTAGCTCGCTCAACTGGTAAGTCAGGTCAGAACCAGTGAGAACAGCTGCGTGTATAAACTGAAAACTGGACCCACTCCCAAAGGGAGTTTGAAAAATAGGCTTAAGGAGGGCAGGGTGAAAAAGAATAGCTGGATTTGGTTTTTCCCAGATCTATTTCCTCTAGTGGAGGAAGAAAATTGAGGCATACGCCCAGCTTCTGATGGGTCAGTGGTGTCATCTTTATATGAGAAATTCAGTATAGAAATTTGTTAATATCGCCAAAAAATTTCTTTTGCTTTCAGACTAGGATTTTTGCTCTAATAAATAAACTTTCATTTAGGTGAGATCTATGTGACATTCACTAAAGATCTTCTGTATGCAATATAAAAAGAAAGGGATTGAAGAGACCCTGAGAAGATGAGTAAGATGTTTGTCAGTCCTCAAAGGTGTGTCTCCTACAGTGCAGGGACGGGTTGTAACCAAGCAATCCAGGGGGTGGGTGAAGGCAGAGGTGGGTCTGGGACGGGCATGAAGCAGTGGGAGAAATGGTGAGAAGACGCTTTCCTCCTTGACCGGCTATTATGTCCCATATGTGGAGGAATATTGCTACATTCTTAGCAAAGAAAACTGGGTATGTTTTAAACTATTACTTTTTGAAATCATCTTGACTTCTTCAAATAATAAAATCTAGACAAATTGGGGGAGAAATAGTTATGCAAATGCATAACTCACTGACAAGGGTTTGTTTTCAGTTTTCTTTCCTTGGTAAGGATTCAAGAAGTTGCACTCTGGGAGGCTGAGGTGAGTGGATCACTTGAGCTCAGGAGTTTGAGACCAGCCTGAGCAAGAGTGAGACCCTGTCTCTACCAAAAATAGAAAAACTAGCTGGTCATTATGGTAGACAATCGCAGTTCTAGCTACTCAGGAGGCTGAGCTTAGCCAGGAGTTTGAAGTTACTGTGAGCTATGATGCCACAGTGCTCTACCCATGAGGACAGAGTAAGACTCTATTTCAAAAGAAAAAAAAAAGAATAATGAATAATAAGAAGAGCATCTTTCAATTTGACCTGAATTATCATTTGTTATAAAAAATATAGAATTTTTATTCACTTAGGTTACTTACTGTACTAATTATGCAATGTGGTGATTACTTGTGCAATATACAATAGGCTCCCCTAAGGCAGAGGTCGCATTTATTAACTTGTATACCGGGGTGCCTGGCACTTAGCAGGTGCTCACTGCGTGTTAAGTCACTTACACAAATGTTACATTTATAAGTGGCTGAGGATTCTTTCCTCCCTTGAAATATGCCATTCATGCTTTGAAGGGCCAGCGATTTTAAGGCCAAGGTCTTACAGTGAACTTGGAAACTGTTAAAAGAGATAGTAAAATCAATAAAACTTACAGAACGACCAGGCTGGAGAGGTTTCCAAAGGCATAGTCTGGTATGTGGTGTATTTTGTTCAGGGCCAAGGTCATGGCCTGTAATGCTGATAAACTTCTGAAAGCCTGGACAGGGATTTCTGTCAAAGCGTTGTCATCTAGCCACAGGTGCCTCAGGGAATGCAGGCTGGTGAAGCAGCCAGGGGGCACGTAGCTGATGTGGTTGGCATCCAGACGCCTGTGGGAAGAAGAAAGCAAGAATGGACAGGAAGGCAAAGTCCAGGCAGAGGGCAGATGCTGAGGAAGAGTCTCTCGCCTGCAGTTATACTGTCACCCTGGGTAGAGTGCCATAGTATCATTACAGCTCACTGCAACCTCCAACTCTTGGACTCAAGTGCTCCTCTTGCCTCAGTCTTCTCAGTAGCTGGGAATACAGGTGCCCACAACCACGTCCAGCTAGTTTTTCTATTTTTAGTAGAGACAAGGTCTCACTGTTACTTAGGCTGGTTTCAAACTCCTGAGCTCCAGGGCTCCACCTGCCTCAGCCTCCCAAAGAGCTGGGATTACAGGAGTGAAGCACCGTGCTTGGCGGCCATCTCCTGCTTTCTGCTCTCCTGGTAAGCTCTCCTTCTCACTCATGGGAGAGGAGCAGCACCATGGCTATTTAGGGCCCTGGCTCTCACATTCCAGGGTGCTATGACTGTCCTCTGTGGGTAACCTTTCACGCACGGAGGTGTGAAGTTTCCGCCTGGCGATCCCTCCTCTTTCCTTTCCAGCAGGTGGACACACTCGTCCTCCCACCTACCCAGGCCAAGTGAATGCCTTTGCTTTCCTGGACTGTCGTGAACACACTAATCATACTATTCTACTGGTTTGCTCAGTAAGCTCTGGGAAAGGTTACTTCCATATTTAAAGGAACTGAATACTTTTTTAAGAACTTCTGAGAGACCTGCCTCAGGGAGGGCGGGGGCAGCCTACCCTCCTCTCAGTACAGTGCCCCGAAGCCTCAAAGCTGCTGGCTTTCTTGCTCATCCTAACCATTTCCATCGGCAGATGTTGGTTTTTCTGATATTTTAAATGAATAATAATATTAGCAGGCCAGGCAGGTGACATGGTGGCTCACGCCTGGAATCCTTGCACTTCAGGAGACCAAGGTGGGGGACCGTTTGAGCCCCGGGTTGGAGGCTGCAGTGAGCTGTCCTCTTGCCACCGTACTTCAGTCTGGGTGAAAGTGACCTTGACTTAGAAAAACAAACAAAACCCAGGGGCTTTCCAGATTTGCTTTTGCTTCCTTTCCCCACATTTTGTCCCCCCACCCCGTCTTTAAATGGGGAAATACGTCTAAAAATACGCCTGGTTAATGAGCTGTTGCAGCCGCAGAGCCAGCAGAGGGAGTGCAACGCACTGATCTTACCTCCTTCCAGCATAACCAGGGGTGTTAATTAAAACTCCCTAACTTTTCTTATGGAAGTGACAAAACCCACGCAGGGTGCACATTTCTGTAAGGTGCACAGACGGCAGAACCACCACCGTCACTCAGGCTGCAGCTCCCGACAGCCCCCCCAGCTGCCTTTCAGACTCTCATGTTTGTGTGTCCAAACTTAGAATCAAAAAAAAAAAAAAAAAAAAAAAAAAAAAAAAAAGAAGGGTTGCATTTTAAGCAGTCCAAGAATTAGGAACTAGGATTAGAAAATCACGAGTGGATTTTGAAAAATGTTTTTGGAAGCATTTAAGACTAAACAGATGTAGGAAGCACCTCAGGATCCCAAAACAATCCCCTGAAAGCCAAAGTGAGACAGTTTAGAGCTAATCTCCACAGAAAGCAGCTGCCTCACTTTGGGTCACTGGTGTCACTCTGGTTGTCCTCTGGGTCTTACTTCTACTGGCCGAATGGGAATAAGTGATACCTTAAGGGCCCTGGGCTAAGTTTGGATAATAAGTGAGATAAAAGTTACTTGGGACAAATTTGAAGAGCAGGATGTCATAGCCCGTTCCCAATTACATATCTAGTGGGAGAGCTGCCCCTGGGGCAATGGAAACACAGCCGCCACACAGCTCCAGGCTCTGTCAACAAAGGGGCTGGGAGATACTTAGGAAAACTCCACCCCGGCTCCTTCCTTTCTCCAGCAACACCACGCTCGGCCTCTGTTCACTGAAGGCATAATTTCATCAGAGGATGATGAGGAGGGGAGTGTTTTTGTTTGACTAAAAGTAAAGCCCATATTTGCAAACACTTCTTAACTCTTGAGCTGACTAAAGAAGGGAGACTTTATAATATGAGCGTCATGTTTTAAGCTGACATATTGTGTAATGATTGCCAGTTGCTCATGCACTGAAACTGTCAGTGGCTTCTAAAAGTCTTGAAAATGACAGATGTGAATGTTCAGTGCAAAGGCTGAGGTACATTTATGGAGAGTCTTCCTCAGCGTCTCCTCAGAGGCTTGTCTTCTTTGGCATTTTAAGTTGCTACCAAAATTTCTGCCGTGTCTTGAAGTGACCCTGCGATCAGTTCCCAGTGTCATTAAGTCTTTTTCTCTGGACAGGTATCATTTAGGAATCACTTTTCTACCCCGTAGGAAAAAAAGGCTGTAGTCTGGCCTCCATACTGTTATCTTACACCACTTTGCTATCTGAAATGAAATGAGTAAGACAGAATAATTAATTTTTCAGCTTCTTAACACTCCAAATACTAATATTTCCAGGCCTAAAACTCAAAAACACAGGCCATCAGATGTTCTGAGTACAGCATTAAAATGTCTCTGTACTAAAAAATTTCTTCATTTAAGAAGCTCTTGATATGGGGGCTCACACCTATAATTCTAGCATTCTGGGAGGCTGAGGCAGGTGGATTGCTTGAGCTTGGGAGTTTGAGACCAGCCTGAGCAAGAGTGAGACAGTAGCTCTACTAAAAATAGAAAAACTAGCCAGGTGTTGTGGCAGGTTAATAGCACTCTGGAAGGCTCAGGTGGCTGGATCATCTGAGCTCAGGAGTTTGAGACCAGCCTGAGGAAAAGTGAGACCCCATCTCTACTAAAAATAGAAAAACCAGCTGGACATTG